ACGAAATTACACGGGTCTGCACTTCATTCAAGGTAACATTTTCAAACCAGACGGATCTCCACGGAATAAGACGGAATCAGACTATTTACCTTAAGACGCGAATCATATCCAATAAGTCGTTTATCTAGGTTTTCGAGCTCTTTTAACGCATCATTCAACAGCTGCATCAGTGATTCCACTTGAGGCTCAGCATCCATGATGGAATGAATATTGGCCTGCCAAGTGAGAGAAAATAAAGATGTTGAAAAAAGTAACTATTCACCTGACAAATAATCAATTAATAGAGATTTAATGGTAGACTTTACCCCATCCAAAACAGACAATTCCTTGGAGAGTTTTTCAGTGAACGCTTCAATGTTGCTGATGGCACTCTCAGTATGTGATATCATGTACTCCAAGTCACTCTCCTCTCGCTGTGTCAGTTCTTGGTAATCTTCACCTAATAAATTTGTAATGCATGTGAAACAACTATAGTATTTTAAGATTTGTACTTTATGTTACAATGTTAACTCATCTGCCAGTTAAGTAGACAAACTATTCTGGATTCACTGGTTACAGCAAAAAGACCCTCCATCAACAAGTTTTCCTTCCGTCTTTTATCTTTTTGTCCACATGTATCCACAAGCCGTATTACACTGTGACACACATATTACTTTGCAGATATGATAATGTCCCATAATGTCTAGCTGGATGGAAAAGTCTTGTCAGCATAACTGCAAATGTAAAAGCACTTCTTTTCATAAAACTACCAACCTTCAGCTCCCTCTTCTGTGTGCTGTTGAACTCTGCTACTCTCAGCCCCATGGATAGAGCCTACAATGAAACAAAAATACATACAGTTGACTCCCAATAACTCAAACCTCCCTAATTTGAACCTCACACTAACTTGAACCAACATAGATTTGCCCTAGATTTCCATCATACATTTACTGGTACACTACAGTTTTACCCTTTGTAACTCAAACCCTTGATAACTCAAACTTCCTGCTAACTCAAAGCAATTTTCATTTCCCTTCCTGTCATTCTTTTTAATATTCTCACTCTTAATAACTTGAACCACTTCTAACCACATCTTTTAATATGCGACAAATCAAAACAAATAGTGTGCTTCAATCCAAAACATTTACTGTAATTTATTTTGAAGCAGCTATGTAATCTTCATCCTGTTTTGCATTTCTCAAAACATGTCAGTCCACTCCAGGTTTATTCAGTTTAAATTACAGTGCCTGTATCTTCAACTCCCCATAAATCGAACTCCTAATAGCTCAACCTTTTTCAACTTCCCCTGAAGATCCGAGTTATCAAGAGTCAATGGTACAAGTCATGTATTTTAATTTACCGATGACTTGCCCATTGCACAGTTTACATAATAATGGAAATGTCAACAATTATCACAATGTTAGTTCAAGAGATCTACCAACAGACATTGGGGAAACACGATAACATGATTAATAACGAAAAATATAACACCAGCTACAATTAATTTTGCAATGCTAAAGGAGTACTGAAAAAAGCATCTAAGGCAAAAAAATAAACGGTGCAATGCTTATATCAACACTTGTACCATAGTTTCTGAAATAACCACTGAGCTGAGAAATACTTTAATTCATGTTACCAGCTCAATTGATAACACTAAATTACCCTGTTATACTTTCACATCACTGATTTAAATTAAAATATCACAACAAAGAATCAATTCTTTTAAAATTAAGATATCATTCTTTATCATTAACATAGAAAAACTAACAATAAGATTTTGTTACAGGTAGTTTAATTTACCTTCAATAGCACTGACATTGGTAAAGCTTGGTTTCCTCTGATTCCCATATCTGTCGGCCACCTGTAAATTAAATGTAATCATTTAAAAACTGATTTTTATCAATATACTCAACAAGCATCCTTGTGACAAATGATCAATACCAAATGTAGAAAAAGGTCAAAAAGTACACAAAACATCTCATTCTACATTAGTTGTATATCCATGGCTCTGGTAGTTCAAAGGGTTGGTAATGTTATCCACTTGATAAATCTCTATGTGGTGAATAGCACAGTATGTTTTGTTAACATTTATCCATTGGAAAGAAATTTATCCCTTGGATAGCTCTATCTAGTCTTTGAACAACTGAGGCCTGGGATATACACGAGCCATGGATCCAAAAAAAAATGTGGCAATTAAACACTGATCCCCTAGCTACTTCAGTCTTGATTCAGTGAAGATGCCAATGGAAAGGTGATAAATGATTGAAAGCAAAACGTTCTGCCTGTCACTGTCTAACTTTTAGCACCATCTGACTGTCTCATAATCCCTGTGGAATCTGAAGGTCAGAGGTTCGATTCCTCATGGTGACTCAAAATTTTTTCTTCATCCCACGCTTGTGACAAGATGAAAAATATCTTTCACTATTGTTATGTAAATTGTCGTTATGAGTAGCATGGGAAATTTATGGTGAACAGTAAGGAGAACTTGCATACTGATGTTTGGGTAGTAGCAAGTGGTAAGTCTTAACCCTTTCACTCCCACAAGTGACCAAGAGAGAATTTCTCCTTACAATATCAATACAATATCAAGCAGGTAGGTGATGAGAATAGAGAAGAATATCAATTATGGGATTATTTGTTGATCCAACACCAAATTCTCTGAACTAACATCATAAGAATTGTATGGCAGATAGTATGGAGAATTACTAATTAGATCTTGGGAGTGAAAGGGTTAATAACTTGAGAAAAAATCAACAATGAAAGGAAACTATAATTTATCACTCAGGATACAAACCAGCTTACTATATCATTATAGCAATAGTGACAACAAAATATTCTTCTCACTGTGACAATCAAAGAATAAAGACATAATTATTACAGTAACTGCAACTTAAATTTAATTTACAATCTTCACCTTCATTATCGCTGTTATAAAATTGGTTTTGTCTTGAATACTGCTTGCTACCCACTTGTAGGTCTTCTCAAATAGAAGGTGAAATTCAGGGGTTTCCTGAACATGAGGATGAAAGTAAATATAAAATTATTTCCATAAATTTAGAATGAACTACATTTTAAGTAAAATTGTGTGGAAAAAATTCGAAGTTTCTTTACAAGAAAACATTGACGGGGTGAAGCACTAGCATATGTTGCACTCTCAATTATCAATATCAATCCAATTATCTGTTATTTACAGGTATCCAACAGACAAAAGATATGTTGATCAAGTACAAAATATGAAATGAAATTAATGTTTCATACATTAAACATAATTTGGCAGTTGAAGGGTTAGCTCCTTGTACTTACATTAGTTTCATCTCTGCCATCAACCAGTTTTAAGTCTCTCAGTCTCCAGTGCATTCTCTTCTTGTATGTATCTTTCTCTGTCTTTTTCACTTGGTAAAGCGTCACAGTTTCAGGTCTCACTGTTGTCACTGGATGAACAATGTTGACACATATACAGACACATTTTCAAAATAATGGACGGTAAGAAATAAAGTGCATTTTAACGTTCACTTTAAATTATAACATTAACTTCCAAATTAGTAGGAATAGGTAAAATAATTACAATCCTTATTATCTTCATTGCGATTTTAAGAAAAGGCTGGATTGAATCAAGGCATGATTTGGGTTAGTTAGCCCAGCCCTTCAACATTACTTTGCGTATCATAGTATGCTAGACATGGACTTCAAACCCTTAGGGCTCAAATGAAACGTATTTACCTCCTCTAATAATCACACTAACTGACTCGCGAAAATTGGGATTTTCCTCAAATAGATCAACGAAGCATTCACAAATTATGCCTATTCTAATTCAAGTGAGGGAGCAATGAATTTCATTTCCTCCTCGGCATCTGCAGTTCTGAGAGTCTCTTCTTCAGTATCGTGCGAGATTTATAATATAAGGAGCAACTGTACTTAATTTGCAAAATCATAGAGACAATTTTCATCAAAGGTGATGAGCATAAAGCCTATATCAACTCCACAGTGAAAGACACTGGGTGTACGGCAAGTTCTTGAAGGATAAGCCTAATATTTGCGGAAAGATCTTCAGCATTAGAAAAAGGGGCTCGAGATAAATTCATACCAGCTAAACAGAGGAAACTTGCTTTCTTCTTTTTCCCCGCTTTAGTTACGCTTACAACCGCATAGAGTCGCTCCTCAGTTGGGTTGAACAACTCCTTCTGTAAGTTGTGCTTTAAGGCCGCCATGTTTACGCCATCAACACCTGGCACCAGTCTTCCGCGATCATGAAAACATTTCCTTCTCACCCCACCCCTACGCAAGTTAAAAGAAGTCGTTGTCTATCAGTAGATTTTCGCACAGGCAAAACATACCATAAAATCCACCATGAAAAGGGTTATTATGAGGCTGTATAATTGCCCCGATTTTGTATTTCGTGCAAATAATATCAGATTTTTTCTTCATCCAGCATATGCTTCAATCACTCATAATGTAAGTGCGACAAACTTAACAAGTGAAACCAGAGGGCAGAACACAATTTGAAATGGAAAAATTAGAAAGTCATTTTGCTTAGCTTTAGAGTACTTCTAGCAGTGACAAGGCAGATAATGAGAACAATAGCACCATTAATGTAATAATTCATCAAACGCTTCACGACTAATTAGACCCAATCCGAAGAAGAGAAATAAAGCAAAACTTTGCTGACTCCTTTTTAATAATTCCGCTACGTTATGAATGAAACATTTCGATGGTAGGTGGCGTGATCAGTTTTCATGTGAAGTAAAAGTACTTTGATGCAGTACAAGATAATAAGCGGTGCGGAACGTAATATATTGGGTACGACTGTGAAACTTTTGTTGACGACATTAGCGCGATTTTTTTTCGTCTTTGCTTCAAGTGTTTATCTGAAAATGAGATCGGCTGCAATTTAGTTTTCCATCCGAAAAAAAGGAACGATAGAGGCATTTTCTTATGCAACATACAACGAAAACTTCCTTTTTTGGATAACGAGAAGTTATTGATTGAGTACGATGCTGGTCGGAATCGTTCGTTTACAGGCTTCTTGAATAAGCCATTTATCTCGGTCGTCTCAAGCCAGAGATAGCAGGTCACATCAGCGTGTTCTGACACAAAAAATTTATAGAAATCACATGGATTGGAAGGTTTCTAACGGCTGGCACTCCTCATGCCATGGCTGATATAGCTAGGAGGTAGGTTGTGAGAGTGATCTGTCTCAATGTTGTTCCGAAGCGGCTGCTATTATTTTTATGCGACTCCAAGTCGATTTTCGTGGCGTCTTCCCATCGGCGGAGTTTTTGTTTCGTGCCGGTCAATTTTCTGGCGCGTAATTTTTGATCCGACCCTTTTACGTTGTTTATTCAGTCAATTTGTCACCCTCGTGTCGTTTTTTGTGTAGAAAAAGTGCTGGATTGACTGTTAACATGGCAGGAAAGGTATCTACGGAGGGTAACTCGATTGTTACTTCGCCTGGAAGTAGCTCGAAGACAGCAATCGGGTCACCGACCAGTGATGGAGGGAGAGAAGTGCGCGAAGACCGCGCTTGGAAAGCGTACGTTTCACAGATTGATTCCCCCATTTCGTCTTCGTTATTGGTGAATGGAGAAGACTTAAATATGGCGTCCAATCTTGGATTCCTGTATGATTATTACGAGGTGACGGAGGAATCAAGTCAGGCTCCCCCTTCGCCCCCTCAAGGGTAAGACTAGTGTGTCGTTGACGTAACGAGCCATGGTGGATTTATAAAATTATGGATCGTTCGCTTTTACCTCGTTTATGCAACTCTTTACATTTTTCGGGAGGCCTAGTAGGGGAATTTTCATTAGCCTTTTGTTCGGAGGATTTGTTAAAAAAATCTACCCAATTACAGAGGGGAATGTTTTTGTTATGTTATTTATCTAGCGTAGATTTCTAGTAAAATTCGATTTGAGCGTGTCGTTTTCTTGTTCTATTGGAAGAGGAAAGGTATGCTTTTGAGCTGAGGCTTTTCAATTCGTACTTTCATGAATCTATTTTTTTTATCACAACTTGTTTTCTAGAGGAAAAAAGTGATGATCTTCGTGATTAATCCAAGTATTGATAAGGTTTGCGAATATGTACCCCACTTTTGACGCGAGAGGGCTACCTGCGGGTAATAACCACATTAACTTTTCTCTGTTTGCTCGATTGCAATCTGTTTACGCCATCATTAACTTCACATGGAGGACTTTCTAGTATGGAAAAATTCACATACCCTCCTCTCCGCTCCTTTTCCTTTAGTTAATTTGTAAGAGGTCTTTCGAATCTTAAAGAATTCCCAGGTTGATGTGAGAAATACAGCAATTGGTGAAAATAGCCATATAACCTTTTTTGTCTGAACGACCATGCAACATTTTTCGAAGGAGTTTTCAGTATTGATCTGGTCCACACATTTTATTGATTTCCAAACCATGAACATGCTCCCCAATCTTTTCAAACACATACAAACACATACACTTCATTAATATGCAAGTCATGTACGTGGTCTTAGAGAGGGGTCATGTTTACAATTAAGAAGCTGAATGTGGTCCTCAGATATGGTAATTTTGATATCAACTCAGGGAGTTGTTCTCAAATTTTGTAGTATTAGATTTTGTCAGTTGCGGAAGTTTAGATTATGCTTGGTACTGTGACCTTGGCCAAAAAGAAAAAACTTTAAATAGAACTTGTTGTCTCTAAAAACATTGCCTTGAACCCCAGGTCATTATCTTTGTAACAAGCTGACATAAATCTGTGAAATCAGAGAGAGTGATTTCTCTCAACAAATAACAAAACAAATTAATCTGCAAATATGAACTGTGATTTACATAATTAGTTGTCAGGGCGTTGATGAATGTGGCAGGAAGTCTGTGTCGCACTTTCTTTCAATTGATTAATTGGCAACTCATCAAAATAGTTGATGCAACTACTACTAGTACATTTTCAGCGACTGAACTCATAAAGTCCCACTAGTGACCAAGACAGAATTTCTCCTTACACTATCAGTACAATATCAAGCAGACAGTTAATGAGAATATAGGAAAATTTCAAATAAGGGATTATTGTTTGATCCAATTCCAAATTCTCCAAACTAACATCATATGAATTGACAGAAAAGTAGAGATGGTAAGTTTTGAACTTGGTGAAGAATTAAGAAAGATGTTTTTTTCGTCTTTTCACGAGCGTGGGACAAAGAAAAAATGCTGGGTCCCCATTGAACCTTAGACCTCGCTTGTGACAAGATGAAAAATCATCTTTCTTAATTGTTCACCGAGCTCAAAACTTATCATCTCTACTTTTCTGTCAAAAACATTACACTATCGACATTGCTGCTCCTAGCAGTATGCAGGACATGTGTCATTAGAACTTCGTAATAGACCCTGCTCACTGAAAAGGCTTTGTGGTTCAATGGTAGAGCATTGGAGTGCAACAGTCCGAGGGTCTGAGGTTCGATTCCTCATGGAGACTCAGAATTTTTTTTCTTTGTCCCACACTCATGACAAGACAAAAAAATCTTTCTTAATCATATGAACTGTATGGCAGACAGTAAGGAGAATTACTAAAGAGATCTTGGGAGTTAAAGGATTAAAATTGCAATAGCTCAAGTCTAACTGTTATCATTACCATAGGTATGTCAAAAAAGAATTGAGGGTGTGGCAATTATATTATAGGTATCATAGTAGCACTGTCTTTGTTGCTTGTGTTGTTACTTTTATGAGTCTTCTGTCACTGATATTATGTGATATTAGGTTTGTTCATCAGTTTTGTTGATACTGTGAATTATGTTTGGCTCGAGTGTCAGAAATTTCTGACTTCTAAAGAAAGTAATTTGAATCAAGTCCAGGAATGAACTCCAGAAAATTTGGAGTGTGTTTGCTATAAACAAACTTCCCTTATTGAAGAAATTGTTAGTATCAGCTTAACCCTTAAACTTCCATGACTGATAATGACAAATTTTTCCTTACAACAACAAACAGACAAGTGACGATAAAGGAAGATATGAACAAGGGAATTATTGGTTGATCTAATACCAAATTTTCTGAACAAACATCATAAAAATCGCTCAGAAGACAGTAAGGAAAAATTGCTCATGAGATCTTGGAAATAAGAGAGCTAAAAGAGAACAAAAAATAAAGGAATGTAAACATAAACACTGAAATTGTTTTATTGTTGTTCTCTACTTTAGCTCTGGGGGAGGAAGTGGTCAAGGGAACCCATCCTCCGGAAACAGCCATTCACAAGGAGGAAACAGTGATTCAGAGTCTGGGAGTCCTTCTCAGTCAGAGGTAAACAAACTATCATGGCTGGTAAGGTTAGCCATATTGGGTTTGATTTATTTTGTCTCAATTAATACTTTTTTGCTAAGTAGAATTGTTATCTTGTACAGAGCAAATTTGTTACAAGCGCACCATTCAGTTACAACAAGTGTACTGCCATGATGTCTCTCACTTCATGTAATATCTTCCTTGACAGGTGTCCTAGTAAGGCTGGTTTTCACTAGCAACATAGTTTAAGGCAAAAGAAAATGCTTCTGACCAGGCCCCGGTCCTTCGAAGGTTGGATAACGCTATCCACTGGATAAATATCTATCTGGTGGATAATGCTATTTGTTTTGCTAGCGAATTACGGTCAACTCGCCGACGGACCAACTCGCCAACGTATAAAATCGAGTAGAGACGTCGGCGAGTTGGTCGTCAATCCAATACAACTTATTAGAAGTTAAACATACAGAAAATTAAACGATATTTAGTAAAAAAACACTGGTGAACATTGGTGAACATCTAACAGAAGCTTAAACATTGTTAACATCTTAAACGACGTTAACATCGCCAATGAACAAAATTGGCTGTAGACGCGAATGAGTTGTGTGAGTCATTGGTGATGTTTACTTCTCTTTATTCGCCTTGAGATCCTTATAAACTTTGTTGCAAATAAAAAGAAATGCTTTTTACCAAAGATCTTGTCTAGAAAGCCAAGTTTTCGTTAAAAAATCTGAGCGATTGACATGATGAGTCTTTACGGTGTTGTTGTCGCACAATAACTCGTTCGCGTCTTAAGCTGTTATAGTCATTGGTGATGTTCACCAATGTTCACCAATGTTTAAGCTTCTGTTAGATGTTCACCAATGTTCACCAGTGTTTTTTTACTAAATATCGTTTAATTTTCTGTATGTTTAACTTCTAATGAGTTGTATTGGATTGACGACCAACTCGCCGACGTCTCTACTCGATTTTATACGTCGGCGAGTTGGCATCGGCGAGTTGGTCCGTCGGCGAGTTGACTGGTTACCTTGCTAGCACTTATCCACTGGATAGCAATTTATCCTTTGGATAGCGTTATCTGCCTTTTATACAACTGGGCCCAGTTCAAAGTATTTAGTCAGTGTCCTAAGCAGAGTCATAAAATCAACAGAATAAAAATTAGAAAAATCAGAATGGCTCCATTTTTCTCTGTTGTCCCCTATGGCTCTTGACAATCATGATCCATTGGAAACCTGATTGTTGAAGTCACAAACAGAAGCAGAAGAACCAACCAATCTTGACACAAGTTCTCAGGTTTTTGAGAGGCTTGTAACTTAAAACTCTAGTTTTCACAGATTTCACAGTTTGAGTTTCATGGGATTGTATCACTCTCTACTTCTGATAATGACTCTGGTTCCTACTGCGATGTTAGTTAATAACTAATCTCTTCTTTCACAATGTACATGCATGAAACACTGATATCTTCTGGTGTTGAGAACAACATGCTAACACCTTTTCTGTTCTTTCTGCATCTATTATATAAGTGTTCCTAACACAATCTGGCAACTTGGTGCAACATTGATATAGAATAATAATTAATAATGGTAACAAGACCAAGTGGAGTCCAATCCAGTCTGTAACCATTTGAGTGATCAACAAAATGGGATGATGGCGAAGCTGAAGTACGATGTGTCAATCATGAGTATGATTATAGACTGAATTGGAAAACACAAAGTCCTGTCACCAACTAATCATAACTGTTACATTTTCCGACAAAACAAATACACTAATGAAAAACATCTCTTGTAGAGATAGTGTCTAAATTAAAAATTCCTCAACTTTGGAAATTCCACGACTTTTTTTGAATAAGTGTTTGTTGCTATGGTTATTGTGATCAATTCTGTGATTAGTGGATTTGACTGAAAGGACTAAGTATGATTGGCTGCTTCAACTGTCCAATTACAGGTGCCCAATTACAGTCAACTATCCGATTACACTGTCCAATTACAACTCTACAGAATGACTAGTGAAAAATAAAGCAGCTGCTGCTCCAATCTTATTTGAGGAAATTGTAATAGTTATGATTATGATAATAATTATGTTTGTGATTGAATAGTTATAACATATAAATATAGATATATATATCCATTTTCAAAAATGCTGTGATTTGAAAACATACATGAAACATATATCTGTTTTCTCATTGAACAGAGACACTTTTTGACAAGAAAACAAAAGTTGTATATATTTCATATATGTATTGAAAATTGCAATGTTTTTGAAAACAGGTGTATATATATATTAATTTATATTAGCCATAAATATATATATATATATTAATGGTATTGATGATGGCAGTAATAACAACAGTGATAAGACAATGGTGATAACAGTATTGGCGATGACAATAACAGTATTGGTAATGATAATACCAGTATTGGTAATGATAATACCAGTATTGGTAATGATAGTAACAGTATTGCTATAATTGTGATGACAGTACTACTTTGGCAATCTCTTAAGATGCCATCTTGAAAGGTCTTTTCATCCCCTTGTAGGTAGGGGTGTGCTGGTATTGGTACAATTAGTTCGTGTATTAACTAACATTGTTATTTGGTATAATGAAATGTCTAATTCTGGTGTTCTTTAACTTTTTATTGATGCTTAGCAAACCACTCTTAGCTTTTTACAAGCAGTGCAGCAAATAAAAAGTCCAAAACACAGGTAAGAATGAAAAGAAAAATCATCTGACATGATACATGCCTAGCCATTGCTTCTACATTACTTAGTTTTGTTTTTTATATTTTTGTTGTAGCACACAAGTCCAAGGTGATCACCATATTACTCCCAAACAAGAAAAAATGACTCCAAATGTCAAGGTATGTTTCAAAGCATGTGATATGATTTTTTTTTAGCTCTGAATGAATTAAATATATGTTAATTTAGGCAAGAATAAATCTCATCTCTGTGGAAACAGCATATTTTTTGCGATTTGACTCATCTTTAAAATTTTATTTTTCAGACACTCACCCTTGGGCAACAGATTAAAGTGCAACCAAGGTGAATTTTTGTAACAATGAACCTGTTTGATTTCATCGAACTTGTGTTGTGTGAAAACCTGTGTTGTAAATGAACTATAGACTCTTGGTTTAGAGAACACATGCATTTCATTCTCATCTGTATAAAAACCTACGGAAACAACAGATGATAGTAGCTATTTTGATAACCGTTCTATGTTTCTTCTAAATTAACTGGTAGACAGAGGAAATACCCTCCACTCTATACTTTTTCTTGGTTACTTTGTGGGGATGTTGATCTGTTCTCTTCACTAAACATGCAAATATAGCCACTTACTTTGACAATGAAGCTATCTACCTCAAAACATACTGCAAAGCCCCCACCTGATCTAAAATGTTGATCTTGTAATTATGTTACCTGCAGTACATCAAGTTGTAGCCACACCCCCATACCTGTGGCTCGCCCTTCTTCATACCCCCCCTCAACTAAAGCCCCCCAACAAGTAAGCGATGTGTCGCCACTCTCCCTGAGCACCACCCCCCCTGAGGTAAGTGTGATTTACACATTGAAGCTGCTTGTGTGGTTATTTGCTCAAAGATAAATAATGTTTTTACCCTTTAACTTCCAAGAGTGACAAAGATAGAATTTCTCCTTACAGTATTGTTACAATATCACACTGAAAAGTGATGAGAATAACAAAAGATACCAGTTAAGGGATTGTTAGTTGATCCAATGACAACTAATCTGGACCAACATTATAAGAATTATGTGTCAGACAGTCAGGAGAATTACTAATGAGATCTTGGGAGTGAAGTGGTTCACTTTCAGCAGCATTTAGCATCTGAAGTTTGACTATCTATTAAACAATTCCACATTAAAGTTAAATTCTTAAGTGTAGGGCTGGGGAACATTTTAAGGCCTAGGTCCAGTTGTATGAAGGCCAGATAATGCTATCCAATGGATAAATCACTACCCAACAGATAAGTGTTAACAAAACATGCTGCCCTATCCACTGGATAGAGATTTATTCAGTGGATACAGTTATCAATGCTTCAAACAACTAGGGCCAGGAGAGAAATCTTATGATCGTGTAAGGGCACTTTTTAGCTGAATTTTCAAAAAAAAAAAATCTAGGTTTGGGTTTGCTTCCCTTTAATGTACACTTTCAAAAGTCTAGAAAACTTGCATGACCCTTTTGACTAGTTAGGTGTAAAACTTGAACCATTGCCACTTGACAGCTCAGGCTTTCCTTTTCTTGAGTCTGTTGCCATGTTTTTATTTGGAATTCTTGTTGGCTTCTTGTCGTGTATTTCTTTAATGCATTAGGTTGAAATGTTATGAATATCATTCCTTTTACCAATGAGAACAATTATAATGAATGGCATCATCTTACTTCTCAGGCATTTAACTTCACACCATACACCCAGTCGCTGAAATCCACACCCACTGTTTTCTCTGCTCAAGATAGGTAAGCATACCTTTAGGACTTGCATTTAAATGGTACACCTATTGCAGGTGTACCATCTACTAGCATCACTAAACATTTTGAATGTATGTTTTGTTAGGTATTCCTTCATCCTTGAGGCACCTACATCCATTATACAAAGAAGAGGAGATGACACTTTGACATATCTTAACAAAGGTAAGAAGGTTTGTCTTTCTGAAGGGGCCAGAATTTGAGAATAAAGCAATAAACTCAATCATTTAACTCCCAGAAGTGATTGACATGTAAATTCTCCTTATAATACACATACATTATCCAGCAAACAGGTAATGAGAATACTCAGACTTATCAGGTAGGTATTATCTTGTTATTCTTGTAACTAATTTATAAGGAATTGTATACCAGCTTTTGTGGAGAAAATGAACAATAAGATTTTTGGGGTGAAGTGGTTGAATTGAATACAAAGTCAAGACCTTCATGTAGTAGTGATGTGTCTGTATATTTTACTCCATTCCCTTTAGGTCAATTTTATGCTATAAGTTTTGAGGGTAATGTGGATCCCCCATCGACTGAGGAGGAAATTCAACGTGTGAAGGTATATTTGTGCTGACTATTTCATAGACTTGTAGAATTCCATCATATAGGACTAACTTAAAAATTACTTGAGAAGTTTTTGATAAATCTGTTTTGGTAGCTGAATGAAAATTCTTTCAAACAACTTTCCAGCAAAAATTTTCTGTACCTTATTTCATTTACAACTTTGCTGAAAACTTGCAGTCTCTCCTAAAGAGACATTGCATTATTGACCTTTTCATTCCTAGGAGGGACCAACAGTAATTTCTCTGTACAATTTCAAATAATTTTCATGCAATAAGATTTTCCCAGTTGTTCTGACATAGGGCTTACGCTCAAAACGTCAGCCTTTAAACTCTTTACAGTGGTCAATTTACGTTTTAACTCGGTTGTTAACACAAAATTACCTGTTAATTTTCATGCCAACAATTTGGTGATTTTACATTAAGTACAGGAGTAAAAGGATTAATTTTGAATAATCACAATCCTTTCTTCACAATTTTAAATGAAGTTGTTCTTCTTATTGCAGTCTTATGTTCACTTGGTTTTCCGTGATGAGAAGGATCCAAGAACAGAATGCGAACACTGGCAATATTGGCACAGCCAGCAACCTAATCCCCAACAAAGAGCATTCGATATAGGTAAGCGCAGCGACTGTACCATAACTTTTAACTTGATGTAGAAGGAATTGTTGAAAAAAAAAAAAAAAAGAAAAAAGCAAGATGTTATATGACAGTAGGAATGTTAGCTTCCCATACCAAAAAAAACATTCTGACTTTATTGTTGCAATGATGATGTGAATGTTTCCACACCTGCATAGTTTGAAAAAAAAAAGAATAGATTAAATGATTCATGACTCTTGTGTTGTTAATAGTTTTTCCTTTGTTCTTTCCTTCAATGTTTATTTCTTTTTTAATGCCTTCCTTTTGCCCTTTCTCTATTTGGGTCATTTGAACACAGTCATACATGTGTGATATTTCCTCTTTCATGTGTTTGTTCAGATCGCAAGTCTTGTCAAAATATAGAAGACAACATAGATGAGATATCATACAATGCAGCTGGGTTTACATGGAGCCCTCACTTGAATGCAAAAATAGTAATAAGGATAAACTGCCTGAGTACTGATTTCTCTTCTCAGAAGGGAGTGAAGGTGTGTATTTAATTTCCTCTTTCTGTTTGAAGGTTGGTTTTCACATTTACTGTCCTAACAGTGCATATAAATTATTAAAAATAGAACTTCAGAGTTGTAAAAGAAGTGATAAAATCAACAGAACCGCATTTGGAAGAGTCATAGCATTCCTATTACCATTCAGTTAAACTTCTCACCCTAATGCATATGATCCAGGGCAAAGTACATTGTGAGCATTACTAAAGTTGCAAGTCGTTGTGGAAAAAATAACCAATCACAGTACCAGTTCTAAGGCCCTCCTAGTGCTTATGATTGGAACAATGTAGTTTTGGCCAGATTTCAAGAGGCAAATGTTCAAATGGCATTGAAATTCTGCTCCAGTTTTCATTAGCTTGGTTCTCACTTCATTGCATCCCTCTGTGTTTTTCTGTGCTTTTGATGTCAGTGTGGCCCCTGTCATAAGTGAGAACAAGCCTGAATTGTCTCTGCATTGTAAAGCATAAAGTTATCATTTTAGGGTAACAAAGCTGGCTGATTTGAGACCAGAAGTTTAGCAGTATTAGCTGCTGAATAGATCTACTGTACTGTTTATCTTTCTCGAGAAATTTTGCTTAAACTTTGTCTTTTTGTTGTATTTCCTTCAGGGCATTCCACTGCATCTCCAGATCGATACATATGAAGATATAACCAATCCAGATGCAGAACCTGTACACAGGTCATTCTGTCAGATAAAAGTGTTCCGTGACAAAGTAAGTGGTTCTTCTTCTTACTGGTGAACATCATGAAATATTCAACAGATGTAGTTGGAAGAACTGGTTGGTACAATGCTCATGCATATACATGGTTCATTAATTGTTTTTCTCATCATGCTTTTTCTTTGTCCTTCCTCAATTTAACCCTTTAGCCCCTAAGAGAGACTAGAATCTAATTTCTCCTCACAATATCCCCCTGAATCAAACATGAAAGTCATGAGAATAGAGATGATCACCAACTAAAGCAGCTCTTGATTGTTAAACAAATTCTCCTTGTTAGCCTCTTTGGAAATTAATGGAGAACAGTATGGAGAATGATCACTTTGACAAAGGGCTAACACTCAAAACATCAGCCCTTAAACTCTTTACGGTGGCCAGTTTATGTTATCAACTCAGTTGATAATATCAAATCACCCTGTCATACTCTCCCACTGACACAGCGCCACAGTTTCTTTAGAAACTAACCCCCTTTATCCCAGTATGGAGAATATGCATACTGATGCTAGGGTGTAAAGGGTTAATACACTTTTTTTTGTTTTATTCAAGGGTGCTGAACGAAAGAACAAAGACGAGTCAAAGAGTGCGGAAAAGAGAATTCAGAAATGGGTGAAGCAGAATACATCATCATGTGCTGGTAAGTTTAACTCTTGTGGTCACTTTGATTCTAAACACAAATGTTTTAGCAAGTGTGCATTTACTGTAATAGCCTTTGCGTGATTTAGAAACAAGTAATTTGTTTTGTTTTTCAGATCCCAACATGGTGTCTCCTACATCTCTCTTTCATCCTCCCAGTAAATACACACGGCTTCAAACAACCACACCATTAGGACCAAAACCTATTCTGTTTACTCCAGCTGTACACAGCACACATGTAAGTTGATCTTTACAACAATTACTTTCTGTGTATACCTTATCTAAAGGAGATGCAGCAGTCTTGCAGTTAAGGCACTGGATTCTGGGACAAGAGCTGCAGGTTTATGATTGGGCTAGATCACTGTTTTCTTTGTTAGTTTATTTATTTGTTGTTATGATTATTTACCTTCATTGTGTTGTGATCTTGGGTATGACATTTAACTCTCTCTGGGCCTCTCTTCACTAAGGAGGATAAACCAGTTCTGGCAAAATGTGAGAGAAGCCTTAAAAATTGTCGGAAGGTAACCTAAAGAAATTGCTTTGAATCCTAGTCACTTAATGCTATGAAGATTTAACTAGTGTTGATTCTCTTTCTTTTATATAACAACAATCTGGAAATCAATTTATCTACCATTGTTTCACTTATGTTGAAATTATTTCTTTTTATTAAGATACAGGGAGGCTTTGAGGAGTCATCTTTGCAGACATTGTCTCTGTTAGCATCCATAAAGTAGGTTAACTTTTTCCTTGGATTATACCCAGAATGTTTCATTTTTTTAAATTAAAACTTCAATTGTGTGATATACATGTATACTGTGTACATCCAGTGAATGATTCTTTGCTTTTAATATTTTAGGGATCGTGAAAACAAACGTACTCTACAATCACACCTAGCCATGGCAAAGGTTAAGACATGTCTGGGTTTTGTTTGGTTGTATGCTTTGTTTCATTTCATTGTTTACTTGTTTTCTTGGTGTTGATCCAAGATGTTTACTTCCATTACTCTACACAGGATGAGCTGGCTGATTTAGAAGTTGTTCCTAGATTAAAAGTACAGAAAATCCACAGACCCAATAGACCAGGTTAGTTTCCTCTGGAAGTGCTGCTTGATCTCAGTTTCAACCTGAAGTATTGCTTCTCTTTCATGATGATGGGTGCAGGGGCATAGCCAAGATTTTTCAAAAGTAGGGGGGGAGGGGTCACATTGTGTTAAACAGTGAGTACTCACCAGATTGGTATGTTGACCTCCACACTGTCTCATTTATTGTGACACATGAGGTTTACGAGGGGGGGGGGGAGGTGGGGGTCACTGGCATCTCAGGACCTCCCTAGTCGCTACGCTCCTGATGTGGAAGATGGAAGGAAATTCCTGAGAGATCATATTGTTGACATTGTATAGAAGGAATAATGAAAATTAAACTATTTCCCTGCAGCTGTTACAATTTATGTAAAGAAAGAAGAGGAGAAAGTTTACAATGCTCTGATGCTTGATAGCTTAACAGTTGGAGACATGGTTGAAGCAGTTGCCAGTAAATATGGCATGCCTCCCGAGATGATAAAGAATGTTTATAAGAAAACCAAGAAGGGAATTCTTGTGAACATGGATGACCGTATGATTGAGCAGTTTGTGGATGAAGACGACTTCATTATAAATCTGGATTTTGATAATCAGCTTGGGCATTTTGAACTAACCTTACAGTACTGAACCATTTGACATCATTGAGCCACTTGTCTTCTTTCTTTCCAGTGTTCCCACAGTATGATTAGTTATTTTCTGTTAAGATTAAATGCTCTTAGCGATAAACTGTATTTTCTCATCACCTGTTTAAGTGATATTGTATGGGTACTGTAAGGAGAAGTTATATGTTAAACATATGTTATATGTTTGGGAAAAAAAACTGAAGTTCTCTTGAAACTGTGTGTAAAAAGTGTTATGGTTCTGAGGTATTTTAAGATACTAACAATTATAAACTGTAATATCAACTGTTAAACTAAGGTTATTTTCCAAGAAATTTTATATCATCCTATCTTATTACTCACTAATAATTTCCAAGACATGCCCCTTGCATGCATATGGTTGCATGATGCAATACAGATTGCACAAGTGGAAATTTATGTTAATGTATTAACTTTCAAGATCTGTTTGGTAATTCTCCCTCCCTTTTGGTAGCTAGAAATTTCCTTTTAAATTAAGTACGAGAGTTTGCACTTAGATCAAGATAACTTCTACATGATAGGTTTGAGTTTTCTCTTTACCTGTTTGCTAGATAATGTTGGATGTTATAGGGAGAATTTACATGTTAACCACATCTGGGAGTCAAGGGGTTAAATGGCAGTTATGTCAAAGTCCTTTTAATGACTGTCATCCACCTTGAAGTACATGAATGGTGACAGGAAGGAACATGTTTCTTTAAGTTTTGGTGCTCACAAATTTTCATGTTTTGCAGGATTAGTAGAGTAGTATGAGTTACTAAGGAAATTGTCATGAGCATATATATCTGTGCATGTCTGTGACTTTCCTCCCAGTGACCTTCACTTGTTTAAGTAGTTATTAATGATAACAGAGGCACTCAAATTGAAAAAATACAGATGTGTCATGCTGCACTATTTTATTCTAAATGGAATTTTTAAAATTCATATTTTTCTTCTGCTTGGAAACTGCTTGAAAACTGTGAAATATTATTGAACAAGGAAATTCTTGCATTAAAAACTAGTCTGCTGGTTGAAAAAAAGAGCACTCGGTTTTCTATAAATAATTTCCAACAGCAACATTTTTATGAAGACTCTTTCCATAAGGGAATGTTGCACAACTCTGTCAGAAAATGTTACATTACATGATATTAAAAATGGAGGAATAAAATGATTATCAACAGTTAGACACCAAAGTTGAGGGGAATAACTGTGTTTGTGCATACCACACAGAAACCCAAAAATTAGTTTATTTCTGTCAGTGTTTGAACCAGCCTATCGGTGCAAGGGGAAAACACCATATGCCTGTGTGGTATACAAACTAATTATATCTTTAACTCCCAAGATCTCGTTAGTAATTCTCCTTACTGTCTGCCATATAGTTTTGTAATATTAGTTTGGAGAATTTGGTATTGGATCAACTAATAATCTCCTAGTTAATGTTTTTCTTTATTCTTTTCACTTGTCTGCTTGATATTGTAAGGAGAAATTCAGTCTTGGTCACTCATGGGAGTTAAAGGATTAACTTGCAAAAGAGATTGCAGATGTAAAGGCCATCAACTCCTATTGAAACTTCAAGAATTGTTGGTGGCTTGACTTGAGATCTGCATGACATAACTAAGACAAGTAAGGCTATCATTAAAGGTGTGTAAAAACAACAGTATTCTACTTAAACAGATAAGTATACATTAAACCTATTCACTATGTTTGAAAATCTTGTACCATAATGTACAATCATAAAGTAAAGACTTAACCTTTTTATCCTTTTTCAAACTTGTACTTTCTGTTATTAATTATTGCTGATTTTGAGATAAGAACTACAGTTTGCCTCCAAAATGAATTTCTACAAGTAAAAGAGATATTGGGGGATAGTTTCATAAACTGAAAGACCTGCCAGCAAATAAAGGTATCTTTCACAGGAAGGGCAGAGCATCTTGGCAGGAAAAATGATGGTTGTAACAGTAAGTCTAAGTAAAGATTCAAATTTTGCCCCTTGTTTTATGCTCAATTTTTATGGTATGGAAGTAATGTAGGAGGTTTATTTTGCCGCAAGGGTAAAGCTAGAGAATAGGAGAAGGGGACCAGAGTTCAAATAACCCTGTTTTTCAAGGAAGCCATCATTTGTAATGTAATGTTAAACAAAAAAAAAAAAGCCTTGCCCCACCATCCCCTCTCCTCCAAAATTCCCTTACCCGTTGGTACATGTGGAATGTTCAGTTCACTTGGGTTACATAGGGTAGCTAGAATGTTCATAGTCTGACTGGTTAGAGATTAAAGATACAACAGATGTCTTTATCCTTCTTAAGAGCTAAATTATTTTTTCATATTTAAAGAGAGACTTGTTTGTATTGGTATTATTAGAAATGCTGTCACAACAAATTAAAGACTACATCACCATTTATTTTTTTCTTCAAAAAATCTCTTTGATAAATTGAGCTTCAGTCAAGTTAACCCTTTAACTCCCAGAAGTGATTAACATGCAAGTTCTCCCTGTGGTATCCATACATTATCCAGAACACTGGTGGTGAGAATACTCAGATTGGTCCACTATGAGATATTATATTGATCCAACACCAAATTATCATAACAAATTTACAAGGAATCATAGCATCTAGAGGGGAGAATTGATAATCCAATCTTGGGAGTTAAAGAGTTAAGGCACATCCATTGTTATCTGAGTTGGCCCCAATTAAAGCCACAACTGACTTCATACTGTAAATTATAAAGTTGATCTTGACATTTCATGTCTATTTTTTGAAGTATGACTTACATTTTGGTATATATGCTTTTTGCCCTGCTAAATTGTGTTTTTTGTCTTAACTGTAGTACTCTTGCCAAAGGGATATTAGATCTTGCACAAGCACTTCGAAGAGAAAAATACCCCAAAGGATACCCAGAAGTCTACCTTAGGTTTGAGGGAAGATTTAACTCAGAACAGAAATCCTTCCTTAGATTTAACTGTGGTTATACTCTTGGGGCTGTTAAAGATTTCAAATCTTTTTCCACCACTAAGGCTCATGTCTTGTCCATGACTCGCTTTGATTATATTTTGGAACAAAGCTGTCATAAATTAAAGGTTGAGTTTGCTCTTTTTGTGAGTAACATCTGATTCTAGAAAAATAAGCTTTTGAAATTATCTTCATCTTGTCATTGTTCCTACTTCTTTAATCATTATATAATATTCATTTTCTCAGCTGATGGCATCAACTAACCAAGTGATAGATTACCATATGTAACAAATTTAAGCTGAAATATATGGAATCTAGAGCTAGGACAAGTACTGCAATAATTTGCAAAGTATTGTAAAATGTGTGCTAGATTTATTTCATTGGAATAAATATTTTATTTATTCAGATGTTATATTGTGCTAGGAAATGCGGTAGATTTATTTCATTGCAATAAATATTTCATTAACCCAGAATACTTGTCATATCATGTGCCATGAAAAAAAATAATTTTCCTGAGTCAAAGTAATGGTGACATCACCAACTGTGAGTTAACCAGTTGGAGCAGTTATGTTGGAAAAGGAAATGAATTAATTTCATCTTCACTTCTAATTGGCCTGTTCTTTATGGTAAACAACACTTCAGAAACATTTGGGTTTTCTTACTTTTCTGAAATCCACAGAAGCAATTTTCCAATGAGAGGGCATTTTGAATGCTTCAAGAATAGTGATGGGGAGGGAGAAAAGAACAGGGTAGCAGAGATGGGGAAGACATCAGGGTGAATAGAAGAAGCAAAATTGTAAAGTTGACATTCTTTTACGAGTCATCTTCAGTGTTTCGTTAATGAATGGAGAGAGGAAATTACATTTGAGAGAGAGGCAGAACAGCAGGGTATAACAAGCTGGAGATTATGGTATCCCCTTCCCCATTCTACTGCTTTGTTGTTGGGCTATCAAAAAGAAAACAACTTGAAAAATTAATCATTATCTGCCAAAGGCAAAGTGAATATATTTGAATACAGGTGATCTCTCACATGAAGTCTAGGGGATTATTCAACAATATTTACTAACCCTAAGACAAATAATTGTTATAGTATAATTACTCAGGTGCTTTTGAATTCTGTGACAACTTCACTTTCATGATGAAACCATTCTGTTCCAATTGTTTTGGTTATACTTGTATCGAGATAAGCAGCCAGTCTCCACTAAAACTTAACAGGTTGATTTAATTCCATCAGCAAAAACTTCATATCTTTCTTTTAAGTGTCACACCAAACTTAGTAGAATCTTTTGCGCTCTTGGGTATTGAATCTTCTTTAATCAATTTTATGACTTCCTTGGTAACAGTGACAAAAAGAGGGGCTGCTACTTTGAAATTTGGTGCCATTGCTATAATCACCTCATGTCAGGTGATTATAGCAAAACATAATGCAATCTTCAACCGATCAGAATGTGCACATCTCCACAATCACCAGAATGATTATACTTTCCACAATGCACAATTGACTAATATTTCCTGAATGCATTATAGAACATGTGATTTGGGAAATAATTACTCATGCTTTTTCACAACAAATTGCACTAAAAATCATTTAGTATACATTATTAATCAGCAGTCTGAATGCTTACTACCTTGAATTAAATGCACAATTTAGCTGAGAGAATTTCGAATTCCAAACAAAAGTTGTTTACCAAATCGCAGATGTAATTAACCTTTGTATATCTTTTGAGTTTATGCCAACTCTGTATAACAGAGAACACAACGAAACCTTATATAACACTGCTGTCAACAAAACTTAGATCCCGTACAGGCCTGAATTTTTTTCAGGCCTTATTTTCACTACTGCCTAAGTAGTGCACATTACTGCGAGGATCACTTTCATTCACGTCTTTATCCGCAGTTCAAATATATGACTTTCGTATATTCTTAACTAAAACTTAGATTAGTTAATTTACTGGAAAAAAAATAGATGAATGTCAAAATTAGCGAGCACGCATAGTATGGTGAGAGAAACACAGTTTGTAATAACGTCACGCATTCAGCACAATTAAAGATAATAACACAGCCCAGCCAGTAAAATCACTGTCAAAGATTGAACGGCAACCTTTGATCCCGATGATTTCGTGGAAAGCATGTCTTCAGCGTGTTTACGAGCGACCCTCTTGTTGAAATTTGTTGTACCATTCGGCCACAGTGTCATGCAATCTATGCCTAATTCCCCTTTAGTGTACTTCCATGAGTAGTTAAAAAGTTTCTCGCAGAATTTCTTGGCATTATCAAAATATTCCTTAAAAGTTTTGCACTCCAACTTACACATGCCGCTTGTCCAGTTCCATGTTTTGAAGTCTCCCCAGTTGTCTGAGCAGGTGAGGTCGTCTTTGCAGGCATCAAACCATGCATCGCAGTCCTCGCTGCATATGGGCACGTCTTGAAAGCGTTCCTTGCGGGTCTTTTTAGAATTAGGGTCCACAACGATCCATGGTTTCATGTTTGGCGAGCATTCGTACATACAAGTGTCGACCTCGAAATATCTACGGCACTGAGGCGACATTTTTCTACCGCACTGATCCCAGTGCATGTTATACAGCGAGAGAGTTCCGTCTTTTCGAATGCTGTCGGTTGTATTCGACGTGCAACAAGCGTGGTTCTTCCACGGGGTGCAATGAAACGTCGTATTAAAAAAATCACTCTCCGGACCTGGTTTTTCTTTGTGGTATTTAGAATCGATGCAGATATCAAGAAATTCGTCAATCTCCTTGTCGGTTACTGCCATGGTAGACACGATCAGGCAGGACAAGACTAGTAACGCATACAAATCATCTGCCATGTTCAGCACGTGCTGCCGAAATTAATGAATTTCAAAGATTAGAAACATCGACAGCTGCCAACATCTGAATTCAAAACTAGCTAGAGCAAAATGTAAGTATTTCCTTCACGTAGTGAAGCATGAGAATATTTCAGTTCAAAGAACAGAGCAAAATATCATACCTTTTCCTTACCCTAAAAAACAATCGCAGTCAACGACGCAGTTGCATCAGTGCGTAAGAGAATCGAGGTACCAATTTATACGTCGCTCCACCAATCAGCGATCACTCTCACAGCTGGCCCACGGTGCATTAGGTCTAAACATGACTGAAATATCACAGTCCGCCGATCTAACAAAAGTAATATTTTAACTGATTTCTTTGCTTCTCTTTACAGCATTACCTTAACGTGTCTGTGGAGGAACACCCATAAAAATAGGATTATCCAAAAATAACAAAAATATTCTTTGTTTTATCACCTTGCTGGCTAATCTTTGACGCTGGATAGCGATGTTGCATTTCACTAGCTATGACCCCCTGGCAGTTACAGTAACGCCACACCCAAACCCCAGAGGACAGAAGCGTAAAGCATGTATTTCTCACATTCAAAGGGAGGGGCAGAATTTTCAATTCGTGATCATTACAAGCCTCATAATCCAACTCACTATTGGCAAAAACGAAAAAAACCAATAATGAGATGGAATAAACAAACACGCGGAACTCAATCCCCCATATTTTAACTATCTTTTCAATGATTTAACGATCAGATGGGCAAAATGAAAACTGATAATTTTTATGTGTTATGCTCGCATCGAATATACCACATGGGGCCCGTTTTTTATCAATCAAACTTGTGACACCGGGGTGAATTTACACTTCCTCGTAGTGATCTTTGCTCCTTCCCAGGGGAGTGTTTTGTTAACCATAAGGTTATTTTGTCTATTCGATCTTTCGTCGCAAAGTTCGAAAGATCCATATAATCAAATGAATCAATATATTCCTGATTTTGCTCTCCTCACAAATCACTTGTAATTTATGTTTGAGGAGAAGATACAGAAGCAAAAGCTTTCATTTAAATAATTCAGTTTCCTTCACAGCTACTTCGGTTTTGAGTAAATACAATTCACAGTCCATCGGCCACTTTGATCCTCTCCTCAAGCAACAAAGTACTTAATACAGATACAAAATACCGGCTCAATCCCATGGTCCTCGGCTCCTATTGATGGTATCGTAAATCAAAACTGAGATACGCCATTCACTCAGTGCTACTTAACCATTCAAAAATGTCCATGGATTTAAATGAAGTACCCTTTTTCCATTGGCTGTTTGAAGAAGTTCATAGAAACTTGTTTTAAATTTACTTTACTGGTCGCCTTTACATATTTCTAATATCATACTATTTCTTTTTTAAATTAAGTAAATTTTCGAAAGGAAGTTGTGTTGTGGCATACCTTTCCGATATACAAAGGAAATATCACGGAGGAGGGGTAGGTGGGCAGTTGCCCAGATACTGATATTGATCCAGTATCATCATGTCCCCGAGCATGTTTTAAAGCCCGAAAAGGGAGTACGCTAAATCGTGAAGATTGAAGCTCCATTAGAAGTTTTAGAGATCCAGGTTACGTGGGAGAAAAATCACGGCCAGTCAGTCATGGCCTGCGGGGGTCGGAGGATTTTGGTTGTGTCACCCCCCCTCCCCCTCCCCCATCTGTTCCCCTTGAACCCCACAGGCGATAGATAATGATTGATCCCAGCCTGATGATATTCAGATCTTACCAATGGAATAGATAACAACGATATCCGACTTTTGATCGTATGGTCTGATCGTCTGGGTGAGGGTGTCCTGAGATGGACGGTTGTCGGTAATGATGACCGACTCGTTCAAAGAGTCCCCCCCCCCCCTTCATCCCTCTCTTCCCAGGAGATGAACTGATGGAAAGAAAAATCCGCTCTACTGTACAACGGTACCGAAGTCTCAAGCCTGACGGAAAGCCTTGTAAGATAGAGCAGTCAAACAACTTTCACATGTGCGAATGTTGAAACTGCAAAGAGGGGACGTCGTATAGCGAATAGTAAACTGCAAGAATAAGAGTCAATTACACCGCCACCCGCAGCACGGTATGACATTTAGAAAACGTTTAACTTTGTTATCATACTCAAAACAAGTTAAAAATCAACAGACTACTCGTAGCTATAAAATAAGATTTTTGTGAGAAAAGTGTTCTCCTTTGCCTGTCCCTTCTTATTCCTTTCGCAACTGTCGAGGAGTATATCAGCTTTTTTCAAATTTTGCGTGACAATATTTGTTTTATTTCTCATAAAATTTTTCGCAGGAAATTGACGCATCAAAAAATTTATACATTTGCGCATGCCCGAGGTTTGAATGGTGTTCTTACATTGTGCGTATTGCCTCAGTCGCTCCATTTCTCTGCGGGCAAGTCACTATTATATATATTCATCAACCAATCGGATCTCGCGAATTTGAGCAGGTGGCTTCAAACGCTCGTAAGGTTTCCTTGGTGACAATAATTACAAAATCAACAGGAACCTTTTCGATAGTTTCACTCCTCTGTGAGCCTTGACAAATGCAAGTAATCAATAATCCTACAAATTTGCGAGCGTTGCTTTGAGACCTGGGTTGGGAAACTAAATAATTAGGTTTCGTTTTTTGCGGCTTAATGAATTCTCCCCTCTCTACCAACTTCTCCATCTTGATTACAGTCACCCCTTTATTCGTCACTTGGTAAATAAAACATTCTGGTTTCGATGAAGATCGGCATTTATTAATAAATAATGATTTTGTAGGTTATTGGTCAAATTATGCACAGCGGCCTGTTAACGCTAATATGCAGCTCTCCAGTTTTTGACGAAGTTTCTCCGCGAGACGAAATTCGTTTGACGTTGAATTAGGCAAGGTTGTTATCGTATTTGTGATTGCAATCGCACCGGCTTCGAAGGAAAAATCTTTCATTTTTACCGTTACTTACCCCAAGGATTGAAAATGACTGGCTTGTATAAGGTAGGAGGAATAAATTTCACTGGGGAATGAACCAGTATGGTCCTCAAATTTCGAAAAATTATCGTCATGATCGTTCATGCGGGCCACGTAAATATGATGAATAATTTTTATATCTCTTCGCTAGCGTCAGGTATCTGTATCCCTATGAAGAAACAAATGAGTTATGATCTTTCTTATTTTGTTTTTCACTTGACTTAGGTTGTGTGTCTACTTTATACGTGCTTTGGGCCGTTTTTATCCTGCACCACGTCAGGTAAATTTAATCCGCTCGTTATTGCACAAATTATCGCTTTCTAAATTGCCGTATTTTCCCGTTAGCAAAATCCAAGATACGTAAACTCTTAACGACGTTCCCGGCAACCTTGAGCTTTTGACTAAAGTTCGTAACTTTATCCGGCGGATGGTAACAACTGTTTCCCTCAAGTCAGTATCTTGTAACAAGCACTTCTTCATGTAAACGTAAGAGGAACATCTTTCAATTAGAAGTTCTACTTCGCCTTCCACGAGCGCCTTCTTTTTCAAAATTATGTTTGAAATTATAAAGCGAATTTTACATCACAGCATTGCAAACGGTTTTGAACTATATCTGGCTTTTGTTTTGAAAATTTCTTAGCTTCTTGTTTGAATTCTTTCTGTCAGAAGCAGGTGATGTCAAACTGTCATTGCCATATGGAAATTATTCGCGAAGGGCTTAAATTAAGAAGAAAGAAATACAATTGGAACAATTCATGAAAATTTTCGTGCCGTTTTTTATTAACACAGATGGTTAGAATTATACTTAAATATCATACTTTGGCTTTACGATGTAACAGAGAACGATAGAATTTTATTCATTTGAAATTGACCCAAACAAAGTCGAGCGCGGATTAGCGCTTGTTTTGGGAATCGTCTTTCGGTTGTTTTATATCCGCTCTCTGAATAGTAAATAGGCTTTACACGGCTCACGTTTAAAATATCTACCAAAGTTAAAGCATAAATATCTCATCTATCGTTGTTAGTTACATTTTCTTTTCACTGCAACGTTTTCATTACCCTTTCTCGTTATTTGCGCTTCGAGCATTTATCGTCAAGCATTACTATTAAAAGGCGGTGCAGGTTGTTTTGCTTCGTTTGCGATTCTCTTTTTTTTTCTCCGCCAATATTTTGCTCTGAAAGATTGTTCAAAGCCCTAGGGGGCGTGGGATAATACAGATTCTTATTATAAACCTGCACGGGATCTCTATACGCCTCAAAACATCATTAATTTTGAGTATAGCTCCAAGGTTGTTGTGTTAAAAGTCTTGAAGTATCATTAGAATTAAAACTTGTGGGCAACTTATATAGGAACAATAAGTAATTTTTGCGGTAAATTCCTTACCACGTCTGTGATTATCGGTTATAGAGTGCAATTTTCTTTATATTACTATCTTGTAATCATTTTCGCCTGAACGATAAATCTTCTTTGAAGGGTCTAGGAATTTTAAAGTTGTGCCGCACGAAACACAGCCTGTTGCCGTCGAGAATATGGATTCTTCAGAAACAAGTTGCAGTAGACCGTTAAACGCAAGATGTTAATTATTCTCACAGAATATTTACATAGCTGCATTGAGGCGGTGTAAATGGGAAGGAAAAACTGAGAGCTCTGTTGGCAATATTTATTCAAAGCGATATCTGTTTTTCGTTCCATCTTCCTAAATACATCCACTCAATGTTTTTCATTCATTACGCATCCTTCCTCGCCAAAAGAAATGACATATATTTTTAAAAAGCTCTTCACCTGTGGTGTATTTATTTAAGTCAGTTCTGGGCGGAGCAGTGACCAGTCTACTTTAATAAGTTTTCATTTATTAAATATAATTGCGGACTTCTAGCAGAAGTCAAAATTAATCTGATCGAGGTATGCTGTTTTTTCTCTCTTTATTTTCTTATTTTCACTGAGTAACTTGTATTTGATACAAATTTGCTAAAATTGCTTTAATTCGTGTTTCTTTTGAGCGATGACAATTTTTCACTGGAAATTCCCACTGTGAGGATTGATGTAAGCGCTGCTGCTTTAGAAATTTGGTCTTGAAATAAACCAAGACAACGATTTGCATCTGAACTAGACTATAAATCACCTCTGTCTCTCAGGCAAAAAGTCTCACAAGAAATCTACCAATTAATATTTTCGAGAGATCAAACTCTAGGGAAAATTGGAACTGAAATAGTGATTGCTCGAAGAACTAATCAACAAAGATGAGTATTTATAAAAAAT